TTGATGTTTGTGCATGTGTTAAAATGTGTAATTTACAATTTGTTTATCCTAACCTCTTTGTTCTTACAGCTGAAGAAGTAGAAAATAGATGGAACCAATTGCGAAATTATTTTGGAAAAAGCTAAGAGAAATAAAGGCAAAACCGGCCAGTGGATCAGGTGGAGGAGAAAAAGCTAAAAAAGTAGAATGGTATCTCATGGGACTTATGTCATTTTTGATCCCACATATTAGTCACCAAAGGTGAGAATTTTGTTGAAAAAAATATTTTTGCTAGTCAACAAATGTGTATTTATTACAGAGGTCGTAGTTCTATGGGAAATCAACATTTGTCTACATCATGTACATTATTCAAAATTTCTTCCTGTGTACCACAGTCATTTGTAAGCAGCAAAGGATGCATCATTGAGTCTGTACAGAACAATAGTGTAGATGTTATTAATGATAATGCTAGCTCAGAATGTGAGAGTTTTGTGCAGAACGATAGTGTAGATATTGTTATTGACAATAATGCTAGCTCAGGATGTGAGAGTTTTGTGCAGAATGTTAGTACAGATATTGTTATTGACAGTAATATTAGCTCAAGATGTGAGAGTTTCGTGCAGAACGTTAGTAAAGATATTATTATTGACAATAATATTAGCTCAGAGAGTTCTAGGAGCTATGATTATGTTAAATCAAAGCCTGAAACTAATTCTGTCATTTTAAAAAAGAAAAAAGTCGTGCCTGATTTAGATGCTTTTGCAAAAAAGAGGCAGAAGAATGATAGTCATGTAGAAAACCTCTTGGCACAGTCAACCTCAGTCTTAAATAATCTTGCAACAGTTGTACATAAATCTATTTCTAAATGTAGTCCTGACGAAATAAATGAACAAAAATATAAAGCAAATCTTTTTGCTGAGAGCATTGTAGCTGCATTTGATAAAGTGCCAATTATGAAACAAGTAGATTGTTTAATTGCTATATTGAATATAATCAAAACTTATCATCAAGATGATTGAACACAGT